GGGAGCCCCATGGTGCCCGAGGCGCCCAGCCGGGGGGCGCGCCTCCCCGGGAGCCCTTGAGGCCCGCAGCCCCGAGCACGCACGCGGAGAGACCCCGACTGGCACTCCCGACGGCGGCCGGCTCCACAGGTGTGGCTCCGGCTCGCCCTCCGCGCGACGTCCGCCCGAGCGCGCGACTCCTCAACCCAACCGGGACCCGGCGGCTCCGGCGCGCTACGCTACGGCGCGGCAGGCTAGCAGGAAGCGCAGCGGCGGACCTGCAGCGGCGCCGGGAAGCGAGAGCTGGCGAGCGAGCGCGGGCACCGCCTCCCCGCCTCCTTGGCTCGTTAGCTCTCCAGCAGCCTGGAGCGCCTTCTCACAGCAGCCTCAGCAGCCCCGGCGGCTTCGGGGCCGCTCGAACCTGCTAGCGATGACCTAATCCCAGCCGGACCAATCAGCGTGCCCGCCTCAGCCCGACCCCCCGGCCTCCGTGGAAACCCGGCCCTTCCGCGGCCTTGGCCCAATCAGCGGGGCCTGGAGGCGGGGCCTGAGGCAGAGGGTGGGCCGCTTCACAGCCGGGGCCGCAACGCAAGCTCCGCCCCCTCCCGCCCGCGCTGAATTGCAGACCCAGAGCCCTGGGGGTAATCGCTGCGGTGCGTGGGGCCCGCCACCCAGAATCTTGCCCGCCTGCTGCGATCCGGGTCCAAGCCCGAGATGGTGCGTCTGCAGGTCTGGAAAGCGGAGGAGCCTAGATGTACGAAAAAACTGGGAATTGGGGCTGCAGTTCCCTTCTGCCCGCCCTGCATTGCTAAGCATTCGAGTTTGCATTCAAAATGCAGCCTCGACCCCTGGAGAACCTCGAGTGCACCGAGCAACCACGTCGACCCTAGGCACACGCTCCTTCTTCCAGTCAGGCAGAAAATATTTGCGTCTTAAAACTACCAGCTCTTCGTGCCTGCAGTCTTCCCGCCCCCTACAGTCCGTCCCCATCACGGCGACTCCTGCTCAAAACCCGCCCACGGCTGCCCCCAACCGAAGGATCTAATATCCTTAGGAAAATTTCAGCCGCCTGTTGTTTTCCTGCTCCGCATCTAACACAATTTTACATAATTACGCCCACAGGCTGTCGTCCTTCGCTACACGGTGAGCTTCAGGAGGGAAGGACCAGTTTTCTGGTCCGCTGCAGCATCCCCAATACCTAAAACAGTGGCTGGAATTTAATAACAGATATTGAGCGCTTACCAGGTCCTAGTGTGCTCCGGCGATTGACAAATATTTGGGGAATAAATGATTGGATCCTCTCAGGTGTCCCTCGCGCCCTCCCACACCCAGCGCCTCGCCCTGTTATCCCTGTGTTTCGCTGTAGAAATCGGTCCAGGTAGCTCATTTACTGCGCTTGTCAGGCTGGATCCCACAGGGTTAGTGCTGAACTGTGAACTCCTGGAGAATGGGCGCTGTCCTTGAATAAATTTTTTGTATGTCCAGGAACTAGCAGCCCTCTTTCAGTTAAGTTTTTTTGTTTGTTTGTTTTGTGCTTGTTTTTTAAATAAGTCTGTTATGTGCAGGCACTGGGCTAGATGTTAGGGATACAAAGATGAATAACAGAATGAACTTGACCGCTGCTGGTCAGTGAGAGAAACAACAAGCAACAGCAAAGTGCATGGTAAGTTAGGATAGCAAAAGGCCGAGGAGCTTGGAAATATGAAGCGGTTGCTAGCTCAGGGGGCCAGACAAGGCATCTATGTTGAGAAAGTAATTGATTGACTGATTAAATGCATAAATGAATGAATGTTATCTATTTGCTGGTTGTAGCTACACATTTAGACTTGATAGCAGGCATGGGTTTTAACCTCAGCTCTGCCATGGGCTAGCTGTGTGACCTTGAACAGTTAATCTCTGTAAGCCTCAGGCCTTTTAAAGTGTAAAATAGGGATAATAATAGTACCTACCTCACAGGGCTGTTGTGAAGATTAAATAATAGGATGAACATAAATGCTTATTTAAACTAGTGTCTGCACTGTAATAACTGTTCCCCTCAAAAAAAAAAAAAAAAGGTTAGCTACATTAAATGGTAACTAACCATGGTGTTGGAAGATGAACTTTAATAAATTCCATTTTTATAATCGTTTGCTTCCTCTGGCAGATGTTAGATAAAATTGTTAAAGGAGTGATTTTTCAAATTAATACTGTAAATTGTAAAAGTAGGTGCTCACTTGAAGATAGAACTGGAGATAGGTTTCCTCCATTGTTCTGGTAAACCAGGAGGAAACCAAGAGCCTGGGGGTTTCTAGGAACTGGAACACAGGTTCAATTCAGGACTCTCAAAAGTGAAAGATTTGCTGGTTACTTTGGAAATATCAGGATCTGACTCTTGGGAGAAGCTTCCCTGCCCTTCCAATGTAAGTAGTTCCCACTCCTAGTCTCCATTGTTATTCTATATCTTAGGCCCCTGTTGTCTTCTTCAGTATGGGCATAACAATTTGAAGTTACTTTGTTGACCCTGCACACACATTATCTTCCTCTCCCCCATCCCACTCTACTAGAATGTAGGCGCCCTGTTAGCAAGGATGGTGCTGATACTATGTGGGCCATGGCTGTATCCTCAGTGCCTAGAATGGTGCCGGCACATTGTAAATTCCCAGTAACTATCTCGTGGG